AAAAAACTTTCACGGGATTCTTGTTTAGATAGATGGAAATAATTTTGAATTAAACTTAATTTGAATTAAACTTATATATACTGCGAAGATACCTTAGTACAAGTATAAGCTCTTGTTTTGCCGATAAAACATGTTTCAAACTGTTTTAATTAAAATTTTAGTTTGAAACAAAATTCCGTTATATAGTTCGAAAACGAAGCATCAAGAACGTGTCTTCTTGGCCAGAAGCCCCAACACGCTTAAGAAGTTTTCATAATGACCTCTATAATATCTGTTGTCATTTGTCACTTACTTCGAGGCGAAGGTTGACAGTAGCTGTTGTCACTTGTCACTACATCGAGGTGAAGTGTGACTGTTGCTGTTGTCACCTGTCACACTTCGAGGCGAAGTGTGACAGTAGCTGTTGTCACTTGTTACTTACTTCGAGGCGAAGTGTGACAATAGCTGTTGTCACTTGTTACTTACTTCGAGGCGAAGTGTGACAGTAGCTGTTGTCACATGTCACTCACATCGAGGCGAAGTGTGACAGTAGCTGTTGTCACTTGTCACTCACTTCGATCGAAGTGTGACAGTAGCTGTTGTCACTTGTCACTCACATCGATGCGAAGTGTGACAGTAGCTGTTGTCACTTGTCTGCTTCCAGTTGTCACACTCAACCTACAGCTAGGAGGCTTGCATGGCATAAGCCAATCGATCCTCCAATAATATGATGAATTATTATTTTTAAAATTATTTGAACGAAATCTACAGAACTTAAGTACTCACCAGCTCACTGCAATGCTCGAGAAGTATTAGCGCTGTAGGGCGACGAAGGCACCTGTGTGATCATGGCTGAGTCAATTCCATACTGCCAGGATTGTCTCGTGATTATCAGCACTGCCAGGATCGTTCCTTAATTGTTCGCACTGACAGAATTCTCTCTTGATTGTCAGCACTGCCAGGATCGATTTGCGATTGTCAGCACTGCCAGAATTGTCTCTTGATTGCCAGCACTGCCAGGATCATCTCCTGATTATCAGCACTGCCAGGATCGATTTGCGATTGTCATCACTGACAGAATTGCCTCTTGATTGTCAGAACTGCCAGGATAGTCTCGGGATTGTCAGCACTGCCAGGATCGTTCCTTGATTGTCAGCACTGACAGAATTGTCTCTTGATTGTCAGAACTGCCAGGAGAGACTCGGGATTGTCAGCACTTTTTTAAAGATCGGCTTGTGATTGTCAGCACTACGGGAAAGATGCTGACCACTTATTCACCGCTTATTTTCACAAAACAACGTCACTGTAATTTATAACACTAACATTTGACCGCATGCATTTAGACGAGAAAGAACACGCGGCTGCTACAACAACCTGACCAAATGACGCATCCGCAACGACGGCATGAAATATAATACAGCTGCAACGAATACGCAACAAAACAACACAACAGACACTACAACCGAAGTAAATAACGCGATCGCCAAAAAAACAATAAAGCAAAGCAATATCATCTGAGAGATGAAAAATAACGAAGCTGCAATCAAGACCTGATCAAAGCGACTGGATACAAGATTTAACAAAACAACGCAACTGGAACTTAGGCCTAAAAATAACGTGATAGCAACTATAAGAATCTATTAAAACAACGCGACTGCTACTAAGACCTACCTCAATAACACAACAATTACCCCATAATGATTAAATGGCGTTATCTCTTCGAAACTTAGAAGAAGCAGCTCTCATATTCCATTTGCCTTTGATTGCCTTGCATTTGTACGGTTCTGTTAAATGAAGGTAATAATGTTTTTTCTTCGTTGTTCATGAAATGTTAAAGATCGTCATTAAATCTTAAGTTAACCCATGCGTTAATAGTGGTCTAATATCATACGCATCGCATGGAGGTATTCCCCATCCTTATTCTAAAATAATGCGTATGATTTTTTACATTGAGGATTGCATAGAACTTGGCGGGCAGTAAATAAATCTTGCAAAAATGAGTGAGGGCTCGAACTTTTACGGATATGAGTGAAACACGATGCGTCGTTAGTAAATTCGTGACCTGCTCTCCTGTCTGCTTTCATCACAACGCCGTGACACTAATATTATACGGAGCCAAATGATGCGTTACAGGCGTTACGGGGCAGCGTTGCACTACCACTTAACGGGTGTTACGGGGAGTGTTGCACTATAACGTTACGGACGTTACGGCCGGGCAACGTTGCACTATCACGTTACTAGCGTTACGGGACAGCGTTGCACTACCACTTAACGGGTGTTACGTGTAGTGTTGCAATATCACGTAACAGACATGACATGTAACACGTAATTTACGTTATTTTAGGAATAGTACGGATTGAAATTATTAATTTGAAATCGTTTTATTGCAATGCCAATTGCTTCATTTCGCTATATAGAAAGTTTAGTAAAAAAAACACTTCCAGATTTTAATCGTTCATCTTTTAAATACGAGCTACGATTACATTAATAATTGATACAATTATGAGAACAACAATATTGAGAAGAAGACGCCATTTAAACGATCGTTTTACGAAATATGTGAGTGAAAACTCTCTTTGCTTTATAGGAGATGAACGGCCGTGCAGCCAGCGATATGTAGCTGCTCCTACGTGACATGTAGCCTACCAGGTCATGTAGCTAGCTACAATCAAGTATCGTGTAGCTCAGCAGGGCATGTAGCTAGCTACAATCAAGTGTTGTGTAGCTCAGCAGGGCATGTAGCTAGCTACAATCAAGTGTTGTGTAGCTCAGCAGGTCATGTAGCTAGCTACAATCAAGTGTTGTGTAGCTCAGCAGGGCATGTAGCTAGCTACAATCATGTGTCGTGTAGCTCAGCAGGGCATGTAGCTAGCTACAATCATGTGTCGTGTAGCTCAGCAGGTCATGTAGCTGGCTACAATTGAATGTCGCGTGGTTCTCATCAAATGCAGTTTTGTACGATGGAAAAAAAACATTGAAATGAGCTCTCGAAAAACACTAGGGGCCACCTGTGGGACATAGGGCTTGTCCCACAGGTGCCCGGTACTATAGGGCTTATACCACAGGTGCCCGAGAGATAGGGCTTGTCCTACAGGTGCCCAGGACATAGGGCTTATCCCACAGGTGCCCGGGAGATAGGGCTTGTCCCACAGGTGCCCGGTACTATAGGGCTTATCCCACAGGTGCCCGGGAGATAGGGCTTGTCCCACAGGTGCTCGGGACATAGGGCTTGTCCCACAGGTGCCCGGGACATAGGGCTTGTCCCACAAGTGCCCAGGACATAGGGCTTGTCCCACAGGTGCTCGGGACATAGGGCTTGTCCCACAGGTGCTCGGGACATAGAGCTTGTCCCACAGGTGCTCGGGATATAGGGCTTGTCCCACAGGTACCCAGGACATAGGGCTTGTCCCACAGGTGCTCGGGACATAGGGCTTGTCCCACAGGTGCCCAGGACATAGGGCTTATCCCACAGGTGCCCGAGAGATAGGGCTTGTCCCACAGGTGCCCGAGAGATAGGGCTTGTCCCACAGGTGCCCAGGACATAGGGCTTGTCCCACAGGTGCCCGGGAGATAGGGCTTGTCCCACAGGTGCCCAGGACATAGGGCTTATCCCACAGG